AATTTAAGAAGTTCAACTGAGCCTAAGTAACAGCTTAGGCTAGTGATGTATGCGACTGCAATGGAGAAGTCCCTCTTCCGAGCGAAGACCAGAGCCTTGGGGACAGCCCTGACTTGGTGCTTCACTATATTTATGTCCTGGACCACTTGGGCTTGGCCCAGAATTCTTCACGGTCTGAAGAGCTTCCTTCGCCATTTCTCCGAGATAGGTTGCCAACTTCAGTCCTCTGGTTCTCGGTAACATAGCAGCATCAATCTTGGAGATGACAAGGCTGCTCAAGACGAGGAGAAGAAAAGAGACAGCCTTCAACAAACGTAGTTGTCCACCCATTTTTTGCTAGAAGATGAACAAGTCTATAGTTTGGCTGGCTTTGCATGAATATGTGTAATTAGTAGGCAGATGGTTTAAGTCTGAAGATATTACGAGTTTAATTTATACTACTTGGACGAGTGTCGTGAATTGCTTAGTCCGAACAACTTGTGCATATTATTTTTTAACTGAAAATAATTCCAAGTTGCCAGAAATTTTGGGCTACTTTTAGGAAACCGAAAAGAGGAAAAATATTAGGCTCTGTTTGGTTTTAAAAAATGTTTTTTATTTTCATTGTTTAGAAAATAGTTTTTATTTTCTGTTTTTTGTTTTTTAAAAATGTATTTGATAAATGAAAATAAAAATAAGGAAATAAATAAAATATTCAATGATATTATTATTAATGCCATCTAATTATAGATATAATATATATATATATATATTAATTAATTAACAATATTAAAAAGTTTTCAAATATGATAGTTTACAAAAAATAAGAAAAAAAAATGTACATCCCTTATTTTCACAATTAAAAACATCTTCTTCTTTTTTTGTTTTCATATTTCAAACAATTTTCATTTTTTTTTTCTAAAAATTTTTTTTTTTTCAATTACCTAACATGTTTCCACTCATATTTTTTATTTTCCAAGAAAATGAAAATAGAACATGACTCTATTTTTTGAAACCAAACACTACCTTATGCATTGAAAAAAAAATTATTAGAAATCAAATTATTTAATTTTTGAATTATAATAAAAATAAAGGGAAAGATTTATGTAGTATATATATATGATTTGTCCAATATATCAAAGAGGAAAGAAGATCGAAGGGTCATTGAAATTAGAATTGTAAAATGCATTTTGGTGCTCAAATTAATAATTATGTAAGTAAAAAGTTGGTGAAGGAATGAAGGCTTTGAGTTAGAATAAGATTAATCTACATTTTCATTCTTTTACTGTGCAACTTTATACAACATAATTGTATAGTTCAAATTAGGTGTGATGCATGCTTCCTCTCTTCATCCGTGGACAAAGCTTTGCTTAGGATAAGTTGTGTACAAGAAACACTTGTCTAGACCACTTTCTACTAGTTTTGGCCTCGTTTTGTACCTTTGACCTGGGGTAGTATTGGACCTAACATAACAGAGGGTATTGGGTTCACAGACTTTTAGATTTTGAAAGAAGAAATAATTTTGGAAAAAAGTGATATTAAAGAGAAATGAGTAATTTTTAAATTTTGTTAATTTAAGAAATATAAGATTTTTTGTTTGGTTTAGATGAATATAATATTATTTAATAAATTTTTTTATTATATTAATTTTTGTGATATACGAATAACACATCACATTCATAACACATTGTACGTGAATAGTACGTTATTTTTGTTGAAATTAAAGAATTTAAAGAATTTTATTTTTTAATAATTTTAACAAATATAATTTTACAATTTTAATTATTATCTTTATGTTAATTGTCTTTACACAAAGAAAATACAAAATTTATAAGTAATAATACTAAATAAATATATTTTAAATTTTATATGTAATAATATTAATAAAAATATTTGACATTTTATTTTAATTTTGTTGCAAGTAGTAACATCTATTATGTTTTGATCTTAAAAATACGGTTTTAGTTAAAATTTCATACTTTCAAAAATAAAATTTCAACATACATTATATTTTTATACTCAAAATGCAATTTTTATTAAAATTTCAAAATTTTGAAAATAAAGTTTCAATATCTATTACATTTTTTATTTAAAAAATATGATTTCTGTTAAAATTCCATAACTCAAAATGCAAACTTTTTTTAAAATTTTGAAAAAAAAATTTTGACATGCATTACGTTTTTAATATTCAAAATGCGACTTTTGTTAAAATTTCATAATTTTGAAAATAAATTTCAAAATCCTTTACATTTATTATCTTAAAAACGTAATATTTGTTAAAAGTTTAAAATTTTAAAAATAAAGATTCAACACCCATTACGTTTTTATATTAAAAGCGTAATATTTATTAAAATTATAACTAAGAAAATTACATTTACTATATAATTTTAAGATAGTAGAAAAGATAATATAATATAAAATATAATTAAATGAGATCAAATGAGATAAAATTTTTACTTTTCATCTTAAACTTGAAAAAAGCTTAGGTAGAAAGTTTTTTATTCTCATACTTTTTTCTTTTTTATACTGTTTGAAATTTTAAAAAATTTTCAAAATCACATTTCATAAACTAAACTAAAAAATCAAATTACGATAAAAAATTTCCAACAAAAAATTTTACTTTTCTCCTAATCAAAACCTCCTTTTAGAGTTTATGCTCCTGCACACACTTAGATACATGAAGTATAAACATAAACCCTAAATGAGTAATTTTTGGATAACTAAAGCGAATTCATTATATTAATTTAAGACGGTATTGTAATTAGATAACTTATAAATAAACCCTAACTAGTCCTTTCCATTAAAATTAACATTCATAACAGTTTTAAAATATACCCTCTTAATTATTTCTTAAAAATTGTTTTAAAATTATTTTAGAACCCATTCTCAAGTAAAGGCATCACCATTAAAGACTCTCAAAATATGAATTTTACTTTATTGAACTTTTTTTTTTCTGTAATAATAATATTTATAATAATAGGCTTATCCATATACTGTTTCATGAGTTGCAAACCGAATTTCCCCGAATATTCTAAACTTTCTCTTCTCTAGATACATCCCCCCACCCAAATTCCAAGATCTTTTACGTATCATATTCAACTATATTGAACATATATTGTTTGGTAAAGTTGATAAAAATGAGGTTGCTACCTTTTAGAATTTAATTCCACCAAGATCTTTTAAAAGGAAAATCTATAGTTTCTACAAAAAGCGAAAGAGGTATGTATAGTTGCCCTTCTGACTTCATTTCCCTGGAAGAATAATTTTCATCCAAAATGATGGATTCCGAATTCTTTTGACTTATTGCAATAACCAAACAAATGGAAGGATTTTGGTGAGTTTCTTTAATTCTGTCATTGGATCAAGAAAACTTACAGAAAATATAACACATAAAAAATTAAAAAACCCACAATGCTCTTATTCCCGTCGTGAGCTGTGAGCTCTATCGGAAGCATATCCTTCAATCTCACGTTATTTATTCCTATTTATAATCATATTTTCTCAACTATTTGCTATGAATTTGTGAGCCTGGTCACGTGCAATAACATTAGTCATATATATATATCGGGCTTGATGCCACAGACTTAAAAATCCAAAATTAATCTTGATAAGTTTAATGCTACATTGTAGATTAACCATGCATGCATCATGGGATTTCTTTTGAAAATGATATCATCCTACTTTGGTTTAACTTCCACGTAATATATCTGGCAAACAAATATCATTCTTTATCTTAACAGTGTATAAAAATTCTTTGATGACTCGTTTTCCGCAGAGTGTTGGCGATATTTTAACGTCTCAAGCTAACAGTGATTTCAATCAATATCATCAAAGATCCCACGGCAATGTTACTTAATTTAAATGTCAACCCAGATTTAAGTTAGGTCAAAGCACACAGTTCCAAATTAGATTAATAATTGATAAAATATAGTAGTTGATTATAACTGAGAATACTGGACCCTTTAGTGTCTTTAGCATTTTAGGTTCAAATTGGCACAATTTTCATCAAGACAGCCATGTTCATCAATATATAGGAGAGATGTGTCCTCTGTATATCTGTGGGAAGAAGCAGAATCTCCATTCTGATTCAAACCCTGAAAACTATTTCAATTTCATAGACTAAGTTGTGGCCCCAAATTGGAATATTGCATGGAAAATTGAAAGCTTAACTGATGTTGTGGCCTAAGGACCAAGAAGCCTAAGTCCAATTTTTGTGCTTATCTTTTAGTGGTGATGGGTGATCCAGATCCAACAAATGCCAATAATGTCATAAAGTGCATGGCAGTTTCAGGCTGTTAAAGAAGGATTTGGAAGTTGACTTTTAAAAAGCCAAAGATTCGAGAGGAATGAACAGCTGGAATAGCTAGCAGATTTTTTTCTCTGTGGCACAATTGTTTGGGGCATATTTTTCAACTCAGATTGTGGTTTTTAACCAACAACACATGATTGTGGTTCCTGTTCAAGTATAATGCATTTTCAAGCACATTTAAGAGAAGTTAGAAATTTTACTAGTACAATGAATCATATAATATGGACTATAATTTATTTCGTTCGAAATCCAAATGAAGCCCATGGCCTAAAAAAAGGACAGAGATAAGAGACACCTGGTAAATTTGGTGGTAGAGACTGATAGTCGCCACTTGCCAGTTGCTACCCGCATCTTAAGGGAGGTTGGAGCACGTAATTTGTGCGTAATAATTTGATTTTTAGCACAACAAAGTCCCTAATTTGACTTTTTGTTCATTTCTGTCATTATTCCAGACCAAACTTCTACCTTCGCCCTCCAAAAATCTCAAAATCTCATCCTTTGATGAACCTGCTTTCTTGGTTCCTTGGCATTGAACCTAAGGTGGCGGCACCTTAAGATACTCGAAAAGACACATGATTTGAACAGGTGATTGTTACGTTTACACTGCATTGCCTCTTGAGTCAAGCAAGCCCACCACTAATATTAATTGACAACTTCATCTTAAATACTATAAATAGAATTTCACAATCCTACCATCTTATGCAATCATTCTCATTTGGAACTAATTAAAACACCATTTTAGAGCTTACTAACTGCGATCATATTAAACATGGGCAAAAGATTCTTCATTTTATTTTTGCTTTTTCTTTCTCTCATGTTGAGTTATATGATATCTGCAGCAGAGGCAAGGGCATTGCCAATGAGGGATTCAAAGTTGCAGTACAGCAATGCTAGTAAAAAGATTCACAACGGTACGTTTAAAGGGTTGTTTCTTCATGCTGTGAAGGATTCAGGGCCAAGCCCGGGTGTTGGACACAGATACAATAATCTTCAAATTATTGAAGTTGAGAAATCTGGGCCTAGCCCTGGTGAGGGACATAAGTGAATCAGTACGCAATAACAAATAAAGCAGGCTGTCTTATTTGCCTAAGTTGGTGGCACGAAGTGCTGTTCAACGGTGATTATTGTACCATACATATGCTGTTGTGGCTGCTGGCTACGCCTCTTGTAACATTCATGTGTCTTAATATAATATCGTTGAACATGTTCACCTTTAATTCTTCCTTTTTTTTTCCTTCATTAAATATTCATTCTATTTTGCAATAACTTACTATTAGACAAAAATCTCGAATCCAATCAAACCAACCAATAGAAACAAAATCAAACAATTAATCAATCACATAAGAGATAACAATTTAATATAATTTAGCTGAATCAACCTACATTCACAGATAAAAAATAAGATCTATTAGTTATAGAAAATTATAACCGTGTAATCAAATCAAACACTCATAACCAATACCCATAAACCTTTTGAATTTCTTATAGTCCTATGGAGTATTATCAATCCAAACAAACTCACATTCATGTGAATCATTTCAACACAAAAACACATACTTATATGCACCAATGCATTATACCTATGTGTTTTATCTCAGTCTCCTTTAGTCCTCTCACATACATTCAAACATATATATCCATAAGACGTAAATCTTTAATACTCTTACGAGCTGTTTATCTCATAAAATCTTACAACTCTCTTATATTTTTTTCTCATACCTAACCTTATAGAGACTTTACTTATTTATAAGCATATAAACTTGCCTATCATAAATCTTTTTTCTCTTATAATTCTTCTCTTGTAAGTCTTCTTATCCATCAATTAATATCTAGTCAATTTCAAACAAATCTTTTATTGGATTTGGGTCACTATTCCCAACAATATCCACATTTACTCAAATTCTATCAAATCATTTATCTTCATGCTAGAAATGATTGGTTCTAACTGTAATGAAATCTCATAATCATCTTTTCTTGTATGTCTTCACGTTTCACGCTTTACACAAATCAATTTTCAAAACACAAACTCAAACTCTTCTCTTAAATCAAGCTCCTATAGATTTATCTTTTTTATGTCTTAAACTTTCAGCTTTGATACCACTTGTTAGGCAAAAAGTCACAATCCAATTAAGTTAGCAGAAGTGAAATCAAATGATTAATCAACCACACAAGAAACAACAATTTAATGTAGTTCGGCCCAATTGACCTATGTCTACATATGAGAAATAAGATCAACTAGTTATAGATAATTACAAATATATTGTAAACACTCTATTTAGTCCGTGGCTCAAATCAATTAGGCCCAAATCTGATCCAAGCGCAATTATCCAATTTCCTACATTTTTTATATCTTATTTATTTATTTATCTTTTTTTATATTTTAGTCTTTTATTTATTTGGTTTTAAAATTTTATCATAAATCATGTCAATAAAATTTATGGAGTAACTTGAGCATGAATCAAGGATAATTTCAGCAATTAAGACTAAAATATGATCTCTTCAAATATTAAAGGAAGATTGAAAAGAAATCAAATCATGAAATCAAAGTTAGATTTAATTTAAAAATTTTAAAGGATTCTGAAAATTAAAAAAAAAATTGAGATAATTTCATAAATTTATTAATCTGATTTTAAAGAGAATCAAGAAAAAATCAATTTAGAGTATAATCAAATCTATAATATTTTCCATTCAATGTAAATCCCTAAAATTTATAGCAAAAGTCCCTATATAAACACCAATCAACCACACACATACATAAAAAAAAAAAAAAAGGATGAAAGAAAAGGTTATATGAAAACTCTTGAGAAAAAAAGAAAAAAATATCATCCAAAAAAAAGATACTATTTTTTGCAATAGTTTTTTTTTTTTTTTGAATTCTTTACAGAATCTAAAATTGTGAGAATTTATCCTAATAAGCGACGCAACCTAACCGCTTAGCCTATCCGACTTCAAGAATTTTATTTTATTTATTTTATTATATATTATTTTTTAAATATATTTTTATAAAAACATATTTAAATAAAAGCCTTATCAACAAATTGGAAGGCAATCATTTTTGTAAAAACAAGATTTTACCAATATATTGAAAAATCTTATAATATTTTTTTTATTTCAAAAAAATAAAAATAAAAAGCCTTACCAACATATTTGAGGGCCAATATTTTATTTCTAAAATAAGATTTTACCAACATATTGGAAAGCCTTATAATTTTTTAAAAAATCAAGTTTTAAAAAAATAATAAAATAATATTTCTTGTCTTTTTGCATAAAATCCTACTAACAGATTAGAGGATAATTTTTAATAAAAAATTTTACCAATAGATGGAAGGACTTTTTTAGTATAAACCTAATTTATAGATATTTATTTTTGGAAGCAAAATTAAGTGAATTCGATGATGAAGCCTTTTCAAAGTGTGACAAATAGTCTCTTTGAATATTCTTGAAGTGAAAAAATATTCTTAAATTATTACCAACATATTTGAGTAATTTAAGAAAAATTTCCTATTTAATGCTTGAATAACTTAAAATCAGATTGGTACCATTTTTTGAATAGCTGTTGTAAGGATGCTATAACTTTTCTCACTCATAACTGTAGTCCCGAACCTAAATTTTAGTTTCGTGAATTAGAATCTACTATTTAAAGATACCTAAGTTAATATTGAGACTCCCTTTAAATGGGATAGATTCTATCAGAGGATTAATCACACATAAACAAAAAAGATTACTGGTGACTCCTTAAGTCTATGTCTAGTGGTAGGTTTATGAATCTATACGTTATGACAGTTTGATTACTCCACTGGAGACATTGAGAATCAAGCCAATAAATGATTTTCTGTTATCCAAGCCTAACCTAATAAATTTAAAATTTTTTTCTTTTCCTTGTATTTTTATTTATTTATTTTATATATTTGTCATTCATTTGCATATACATAATATGAGCTCTACACCTAAGTTTTATCCTTTAAAAAAGAGTAAAGTACCTACACCTTTGTGAGATTTCATGTCTCTATATGGGCTAGTGAAAAACTTTCACTCAAATTGAACCATTTACTCTTGTAGCTTATAATGGGCAAAGAATAGGATGCCTCACTAGTCTATGATGGACAATGATGTAAAAAATAATTTAAAAATTGGTAGAGCCAACCCCAAACCACATATAGTAAGCCGTAATAAACTTAACCCATAGGTAGAGCCATGTTCTTTCTTTTTGTAGAAATAATCCAAATTAGGTCATACCTTTTGAGTTATGTACTAAATTATTTTGTTTTTTTTCTCTTTCTTTAAATTGGATACTAACTTTGTTCTTGTTTGTTATTTCTTAAGGTTCACAATTATTTATTTATTTATTTTTTATTTTTTATTCATCTATTTTCATTCATTTCATTATCTCACTCATTCATAGATCATTATCATTAATTGATCATGTCATTGCATAATATAAATCTTTTGCTTACATGGGGTAGTAATTCAGAATATATGAGTGATCAATTAGAAGCACGAATCTAGGCCTTGGAACTTAACCAAGAGGAATTTAGGCATGACTTATAAGAAATAAAAATGCAACTTACCAAGTTGGTAGAAAGGGTTGAAAATCTTAAAACGACCCATTCTCAAAAGTCTTCATCAACTCTAATCCGTATGTACATTAAATAACCACTTTGTCAGGATAAAAAAAACCACTCACAATATTGATGTCGGTTTAAGTCCTGCTAATGCATTCTGTGACCTAAGAAAAGATCAATTCAAAGAAGAAACGAAAGAGATAAGGGCTTTTAACTTTACACCGACTCTGCATATTGGCTCATACCCAAATCACCAACTAGTTATTCCTAAATAACCTTTTTTGGCATCCCAAACAAAACCTATTCTTATTCAACTTCCACAGATTGACCCATACCTATGTACCTTTTCGATTATGAATTATGCTTTTCAAAACCCTGGTACTTATCAAGCCATCCAGCGACCAAGTTTTTTTATGAATCCTTGGGCATATAAACTTAGTTCTAGTCGAAGACCTGAACCTCTAAGTCAAACAGCTACTTAACCCAAAAAATTATTGATTAAAAAGAAAGAGCCCACATTGATCAAATTCCTATGATTTACATTGAATTATTTTTACTATTCTTAAAAAATTATCTAATCGCGTAAGTTCTTCTAGAGCCACTAAAGCCTCATTATTCTAAATGGTTTGATGTTGAGGCTTAATATGATTATCATTTTAGGAATAAGGGTCATTCGATATAAAATTACCTTGCTTTCAAACATAAGGTGCATGGTTTAATCAGAACTGGTGCATTCAGTTTTAGGGATAAATGAGAGCTCAAGATTATTAAGAGGTCATTGCCTAATCATAGTGGCTGAAGAATTTATCCATGATAGTACCATGATCTTAAAGCTAAAAGATCGAACCATGCAATAGATTTTAAGATTTTTTTTTTAGGAATGTTTTTAGGTGGTTTTGTTGGAACAATTTTTAATTTTTAATTAAAAATTTTTTTTCTTTCTTATCATGTGATGACACTCAATGCATGCATGCATCAATTCATTCATATATAAAATTTTTTTCTTTTTTTTGCATAAATTTACAGTAGATATTATTCTAATTCTTAATTATGGTAATAAAGGTTCAAGAGCTTGATCATCAAGATAATCTATTTATCACTTATAAAGTCAAAACAACATAGTCGAATTAAGAAATTTGAGAAAACTCAAGATAAAATGAGAGGAGATTTGGCCTAGATAATGAAAATGTTAAAAAATTTAAATAGAGAAAAAAAGTGGAGAAAGCTCGTGTACAAGCATCTTAAAGGGCACAATCATAACAAGCACCATTTTTTGTGGCATACTCTTATCTTGGAATACCTTCAGTACCCATACAAAGATAGCCTTAGGGATATACTATTCTTGGTGGAGATAAATTTGATCCAACCCAAGTCTCTGACAATCCTGAATAGTTAGAACGATTGAAAAAAAGTTTATTTGAAGCAATAAAGATTTAAGTGCTCAAAAAATATGGATATCATATAAAAAAGGCTTTGAGCTATCGAAAGAATAGATTTCTATAGATCTATAGATGCATCAAAGCTTTGCTTGGTGCCAGATATGATTGTCTCGTCCAAGTTCAAGGTCTCAAAATTTAAAAAATATGATGAAATTAAAAGCCCAATGAACCATGTTATTATGTACTGTAGAATGATGGCTGCCTATATCCATAATGACAAACTCTTGATTCATGTATTTCAAAATAGTTTTATGGGGTATATTGCTA